AAGATTTTAAGACAGTGGAAGGTCTTCCACGTGATGGCAAAAGTAATTTATATCTAAATCACAGTAACTGTAGGAAGCTCCACCTTTGTCTTCAACCTACCACACCAAGACTCCCCACAGGGGAGAGCAACAAACAGCAAACAGGTTTCGGTTGCTTGGGAAAGCTGGGCAAGTAACGTACCTCCCTAATTCCATTATTCTTAATTATTATAGTCTGCTTCTTTGTCTGACCCTGTGTAAGTATAGGACATCCCAAAGCTATGAGCTGCCTCTTTTCAGTTTGCTCCTCAATAAAAAGAAATGCCATAAGGGATGTTTCTCCAGAAACTAGTGTTGTCATAGCAAGCAGAAATTTACAGATTATCAGAAGATATACATCAGTTCCTGTATTTTCCAAGCTCACGAGAAAAAGTGGTTATTGATTCAGGAATGTCCTGCCCGTAAATGTCAGCTTTAAAATTGGAAAACAGAACTCTAAATATTAAAACTTCAGTACTAAGAAAAAAGAGATGTCACTTCAGCAATTTGTAGTTTAAATTTTAAGAAAACTTGAGTTGTGATATAAAGCATGACTGTAAGAGAGAAAACTCTTAGACACAGCTTGTAAGGAGATATTACTCCTTTATTTTCATAGAGGAAATATTTCATAGAGGGAAAATAAATCACATGGTAACCTAAAATATTTAATACTACAGATATGAATGCCAAAGTTGCAATATAATTTCAGCTGCAGTATGCAAACTTTAGCATGAATAATTAGTCATTAGTTTTTTAAAAAACTTTTTCCTCTATAAGAACAAATGCAAGGTTTGGGTTGTTTTCATTATTTTTTTTTTTTTTTTACAAATTGGAAATAACTACATTACTTAGTCTAAACTTTCTGAGTAGTAACCACTCGATGGGTAGCATTTTTATTTTTTTTTAAGATAGATAGGAAATTTTCCTCTCCTCAACAAAGTTTCATTTATGTGCAAAACGTAAAAATAAGATATTACGGAACTTTTCTAGACAACTATAATCTCCTTTGACAGTTGTTTTATCCAGAGCACAGATGTTTGATGCTTAACCATGAATGTTGGCTGACCTGCCCAAATCTCAGTGAAGAACAGTTGTAACGAAAAGGTTTGTCTGCAAATGGTTATGCAAACAGCAATCTTCACTTCATGTTCAAACTAAAGTATACCCTCTATAATGCACTACTTTTTTCTTTAAAGGCTTAGAAGTACATGTACTGAAATTACAGCCAAATGCTTACTTTACTGATAAGCGTATAGATTACATCCAAAACAGTATTAACAACTAAATCAAGATGTAGATTATTCTTTCAGATTTCAAATTACATTGCAAAAAAATCCCAGGAAATGACTATTTAGCTCTGGTTTGGGTTTGGGTTTTTTTCATGAAGTAAAGTGGGTAACATATGCTATGTTCTGTTCTCCTTAGATGCATTCAAAATGCAAGGTAATCTTGGGGCAAAACTGGTAGGGAAGGAATAGTCCTGTCTGAAGAGTAGTTCTGCTGCTTGGAAGGGCAGAAAAAGCATGTAAGGCCAAAAGAAAGCTATGGTAGCAGGTCACCAGATGGGGAACACTGACTACAGAGAGATCATCTAAGCCCATACAATGTGAAACTTAGTCTTCCTCCTCATAACACTGTCATCTTTGACAATGATTGACTTAAAAGTAGCGTGGATTCCTCTCTGCTAGACCATGAAAAAAGGCATGTTCTGGTTCCTTGAAGAGTTACATGCAGAATTCCAGTTCACCTTCAAATAGCCACATTATAGCTGTTAGAGCTACAACAACGGGCTGCAAAGCAACCGAAGACAACTGTAATCAAAATCTGTTTCCCACTTCCCTGGGACAATACAATTTTTTTAGGCAGAGATGTGAGAAAGCAATTGGCCATCTCCTCACTCCTTTATTTTACAGGAATTTGCTTTATGGGTGGAGTTCAATCTTTTTTTTAGAAGAGAGAATCTGTTATTTTCCTAAAGAAAAAAAACAAAACAAAACAAACAAAACAACACACACCAGTTGCTGGAAGCTTCCAGACTCGTCATAATCTCTGTAACTTCTAAACTGAGATTAATTTCAAAAAAGTTTAAGGACAAGAATAAGGCTTGTAACTTACCCAATTTGTTTGTCTATGCATACACAAAAATGCATACAAATATAATTAAGGGGTGGTCAAAAGTTGCAGTGAATTCCTTTTAAGGTGCCACACACAAAACTACCATGATAAGCTCTCTATATCTTGTTTTCTTTGTACGGCTGAGATCACAGTTGTTTGATATGTCTTGCAAAAGGTCTGCTTACCACTTTTTCAATGCCTCTGGAAGGCTCTAACATTAGTTTAAACTTCCACAACTTCACCAATATATATTTTGACATTAGGCACTACATATTAACTAAACATTGAGATAAAGTTACAAATATGAAATGCTTAAGGTACTGAGATTTAAAAGCCTATTGTAAATGCATTTGTGATGACTAGATTTTAATACATTAATAATTTTTACCCCATTAAAACACAGTGTTGCATCAGTTTTACAGCACAGAATAATGGCATCACCCTACCCATAATTAAACAGTACTACTGTAACTTTTTTTAAACTCTTGACTATGTAAAGTTCCTACTAGAGGGTCAATGCTTTAATACAGTAAGTGTATTACAAGGAAAAACTCTTATCAATATATCTTTGAATGTTGATAATTAAAGCCACTATTTATGTATGATGTCGTATAAATAAATTAACTGCAAAAGTATACAGCTTGAATGCCATGTCATGTTATTTATAAAGGTAGGTCCTTGGAAATCTAGTACAATTGTCTTCTGTCACCATCAGAGAAGTCTCTTCCTTGTAATTGAAAATGAATGCCAGACATGAACTACTGTTACAGCATCTCAGAAGAATGTAACTAGGTTGTGAGCTAAATATAACTTCTCCTAGTTGTCAAGTTTTTCTGGTTATAATCAAATCTCCATGAGAAATTTTCACTTTTCTAAAAAGCAAATGGCCAGATAATGCAACTGAATAAGAAGTTACTGTGTTACTGAACATACACATAATTTGACTACAATATGGCTCATACACATGGAAGAAACCATTTAAGCCATTTTTGTTCCAAAGAAAATTAAAATTTGAGCAGTCAAAATATTCTGGGTCATGGCTGAAGAAAATCTTTTGTGGTATACACAGCACATGCATGCATATATTACGCCTGGTTCTAAACAAGATACTGTCCTGTTCTCTTTTCAGTAACTGTTACCATTCATTATAAACTATGCTGTTTTGGAGAATCAGAACATGATTTAGAAACAGGATTTGTAAAGAAAACTGCTTCAATTTCTAGAAGTCAAGTTTTTGTTTATTCTCACCTCAGAGAGAACTGGGAAAGAAAACAAACAGTTTTTGCTTTCTAGGTGGGAAAAGAAAAGAAGTAAGTAGAGCATCAGAAACTATACTCTTTACAATGTGTGGGATTTTCCTCATGGTGTTGCATTCCTATACATGACTTCTGATGGACAGAAGTACATTGTATTTACTATTTAAGTAAAACACTGGAAACAATCTTAAAATACTCCTTCAGATGTCAACCTAAAAATCTATTTATTGGCAATTTTTGGTGTATTATCCTTAAATCAGTTCCCAGTTGTTCCAGCCCAGTAGTACATTAATCTTCTCTCTCTGCTGGACACTAGTGGCTTGTATAAAGTGAGTTCACGTTTTGAACACACATCTCTGGCACATTTCTGGCATCTTTCTGGGAATATTCAGAGCCTAGTGACCAAGCAAACATGAATGAAAGTGAATTTTCTCTCTAAAAACTTGCAAGTAATGCTGAATCCATGTCAGTGGCTACGATGCTTTTGTTGCCAACCCAGGACAAGTTTGCTCTTTACAAGTTATTAACGCAACAACAGGAAAAAAAAGGCACAAAAAGTTTAGAGTGCAAATATTCTTTGGTTTACTCATTAAAACAAAAGGACACAGCAAACGGCAAACACACTGTCAATTAAATAAACAGCAAATTTTTGTATGCTTCCTAACAAAAAGTCTTTGGGTGCTTGAAATGTATTAACTTCATGCCTTTAAGTACATTACAGTGTCTAGAAAGTCACATTTTTTTTTTATCCCCAAAAGCAAGACAGGAAGAAGATGAAGGAGAAAAAGAAGAATAAAAGGTAGGAGGGGAGAAAATAAGGAAAAAAAAATATTCAAGACTCCACTTTTCCATTAGTTAAATAGTATATAACAAAACGATTAAACTTATTTCTGTTTCTAGTTTCATTGTACACAAAGCAAATTGGCTTGGAATTTCTTTTCAGATGATGAAGCTTTCTGAATTCACGTCATCATGCACATCAGCCTAGTGTATAAAATATACTAACTCACACCTTTTCAAAAATAATTGTGACATATTAGCAGGATTCTAAATATCTTAAGGAATCGCACAGGTAAGTCACTGTGTTTCACCTTATCATAGGCAGAGTTAAAATCAGGTACCGCAAGTGGTTACCAGGGAATACTCTTCCCCAGTTAGGCTATTTTACTATAGCTTATTCCTCAATAATCCCCATATAATCAAAGGAAGCAAGCATCTGTGCAGGTCTATACGGATCTATACTCGGGAGCCTTGCTGACAAGTTTTCATCACTTAGCTGGAGCTGTACAAGCCTGTTAACACTACACAACAGCATCACTGATATTATTTAAAACAGAATGCTTCATAAGGGCACCACTAGAGCTGTGATGTGTGCAGAGAGCATAAAAGACTATAAATGAATTAAATATATATATTTTACAAATAAGTAAGAGAAATTATGGAGTGTACCATCACCATGATAGTCTGTTACCAACATTACTGGACTCTGATAGTTTAGAAATAATTCTGTAAATCTACAAAAGATGCGGATTGTCTGACAGCATATTATTTTGTTTTGTACATCTATCTTGCAAGACTCTTTCTCTACTTGGACTGTTCTATTTCATTGTCTTTTTCCAGCTGTTTCTGTAGGCAAAGCACAGTAAAAAAAGTCATATGCAGTCTTTCTTCCAGACGGACTGTGAATAGCAACAGATAGCTCATAATAAGGAATCAATTTAATAAAGATATTTTTCAAAATATTTGTTATAATGTAAAAAAACCTTTTTGCATGCTCCCTTATTCCTTCATAAATCAACAGTGTTCCATCTACAAATAATGCATAGCCAGTCAGCTTTAATACAAGTACTTATATGTTCCCCTCATCTAGCATTTTGTTGACACCATCACAAAGTTTCTGCAGATGGAGTTTATAAGGTCCAAAGGGATTGTACAAAGCAGCCAAAAATTCACAATCAGAGAAGTGATCAAACACATTGTTGACACGTCCATGTGACTTTGCAGTTAGGTGGCGCTGAATGATTTCATGAAGTAGCTCTCTACAATCATTTAACAGTTTAGACAAAAAATTCCTGTCAAAGGTATAATCCACCTGATGGAAACTGACCACCGTCTTAGCCAGCTGATGAACCTTCTTCTTGAATTTCTCCATCAAGGCTATTTCATCCTGATTAAATTGGTTGTTCCTGTAGAGAATTGCCAATTTGAGAACTATTTTAATGAGGTTTTTGATTATTTTCTCTGCTTCCTTTTTATTTTGTGTATATTCCTTTGTCACTCTGTAGAGCTCATCTAAAACATCACTGCTTGTATCATCGATCAAAGTAGTTGCTATTGATTTAGACACCATCTTTCCAAGGATCTTCTTCTGGGCCTGAATGGCCAGACTTTTGGAGTTGAAGACATCTGTGGCCACTGGGGGGGGAAAAAAAAGTATGCAGTCAATATTTCATAACACACATACTATGGACAGTAAGTTGAGGAATATTTCCATGTCTGTCCATTCATATAAGTCCTACTAACTGCCACAAGAATAATGCAAACTTATGTATGTAGTTGCAGAAAACCCCACCTTTTCAATCCCTAAAATTCTACTGTCTTTACATTTAAAGTGTTTTACTGTTGAGAAAACACAAAATGAGACAGAACTTGCTCAAAAGTGGTTTAAAAAAATCTCTCTATATATGGATTGACAGGATTTCAAATTGAGGCAATAAACCTGCCCTATGAGTCCTAAGTCTGATCTGATTCTCATATTCATCATGAAATCTGAAACCACAACTATCCCTATATCATGACAATTACCATTGCTATTCAGTCAGACATAGTAATTCAGGGAATCGACTACTGTAAAACTTTTTCCTGCTTAGCATTTTAAATGATCAGTGAATTCATATATATATATATAAAAAAAAATACATGTATATAGATACACATAAAAAATAATAATACAAACACAAAAATCCTTTGTCAGCAAACAATACTGAGATTCTCTGCACAGAATCTGAAGAAGCTAGTTTTCAGATGGAAAGCAAGTCTAGATTAACCCTTCTATGTTCTACACTTAGTGCAGAAATAGCCAAAACCTAACAGTTTAGGGATTGCCATAGCACTTGCTAGCATAACCTTATAAAGAAACCCTTCTTTGACCAATAAAGTAGATCCTAGAACAGATTTCCACCTCCAAAACTATGCTTGCTTGCACCAATATACCCAATGATTGGTTTGTAATTTCTTCAAATACCTAAAAGACCCAAAATGTTCTTTCAGAAACTTGTTTTACATAATGTTACAACTTGTGTTCTGTTGCCACTGCCACTGTTGCCTATGTAGCATGTTCTCTACTATGACAAACATGAATTCCTATTTCCAGGTTCAG